GTTCCCCAGGGATTCCTTTAGCCCTACTTCTCAGGGAAAGAGAAACCAGCCCTCTTGCACTGTCAGATCTGCATTCCTCACTACTGTCGTGCCTATTTTTAATCCACGTCAAGTCCCCTGTTGTGCAATAACCCTACAAGTTGCTGGTGTTGTCAATCATTGATATACCCATCATCCACCCTACAGAAACATCTTTAGAGTACTTGACATGTAAAAGATTAAACAGTGAACTGTTTCTGACATTTGCTGGATCCAACGACCAACATTCAATCCACAGACTGGATAAACATTGATCTAGGTAACACTTGAAGACATTAAGTTAATGAACCGCAACTAAGGTATGAATAAAGATAAAATGATCAGCACTAACAGGAGTTATATAAGCAGCAGTTCGCAGCTGCTAAAAAAGAATCTTAGTTTGCCTCAATAGGCTAAATTAAACTGCAAGAAAAGATGGTATCCTTGTTTCTATAGATTCATAACCAAAAAAAAAGATATCCTCTAGTGAGTAAACTGTTAAGTGAAAGAGTAATTATATAAGCATTTACAGAAAATAAAGGAAAGTTGACATACTCCCTCTTTGCTTCAACATCTCTGTTAAAGTCAATGTTAGGCTCGCAGTCAAGAACCAAAGCAGGAACCTGCATCATAATAGACAGTTAAACACAATGTTGTATGTCACAAAAATATACAGGAACTGCTTTATCAGAAAGAAAAAGAAATGGATGTCCATGAACTGAAGTTACATTCACAGGAAAGTACCTTCTGAATACTTGGGTGCATGTGATTGCCCTCCAGATAAAAAACACGGTCCCTTATTTCTGGGGGTACGGATTTATCGAAGTTTAGGGGTAGCTGACTAACAGACAATACCCCATGATTTCCACTTTCAAATGGGAAAAGCCAGCTTTCATGCTTTTCATGCAAGTCTCGCAGATATTCCAAGGAAACTCCACCTTCCTCTTCTCTCTTACGCAACATCATTCTCTTGTGACATGTATCAGGGCTTGCTCTAAGGTAAATAAAGCCATCAGGAATCAGTCCAGGCAACGTTGAAACAACTGGGTCAAACCATGAGTCATAAATGCTGATCTCCATCTCATTCATCCAGTTTGCTTCATGAACAGCTCTTACAAAGACCTTTATGAAAAGGTTATGCATCATACAGTAGACCTTGTAATAATCAGGTATAGTACATTGCATACAACAACAAAAAAACAACTAGTTCGGATTGGCTGGTATAGTAGGTTGTATATGTTGCGAAAATCAACTCCCAGAGGATTGTTCTCAAGCATAGCACGTAAACCAGATATTTGTCAAATACTCTCTCCCCCCGATAATTTATATGTCAACATTACTGTCTGGGGTAAAAATATTCTCACTTCAATTATTTCAAATGTCTTTTTAACATTTTAATTACAATTACAATATAGTGATTGATGGTACCTTTATTTTTTTTCCAATAAGGATGATTTATAGTACCTTGATGTAGTTTCTAAATATGCAAATTTCCTTTCACAAGCAAAAAGAACAAAAAGAACCTAAGGGATCGAGTTCAAATCCACATCCGAATATTAGATGGTTTGATCATCGTGCTCCGAATGCCAATCAGTCCTTTTACATAGATGGAATATTTGAGGGTACTGTAGACTGTCTTTAAAGGTTAATCAGAATACGTATATTACAATGGCAAGTCTATAGTTCCGTGTCAGTTTTGATGAGGTGCGTACCCATTAAAAGATGTGGAACTTTGTATAACTGTAATGACCTAAAACATACATTGTCTTAGGGGTTAAGGCATAGCTCGACAATCAAAGATCAAGCAAGAAGATGCAATCAGTGAGCATCTTTACAAGCTTAGTAAGGTAAGAAAATTTACCATCCTGTCACTGAAAACACTTCTCTCCATCAACCTGAGGGGCCTGATACCACCAGATGATTCTCTCTCCTGCATAACTCTAGTAACGAAAACATAGTTCTGAAATGTGTAAGCATATCTTTGTGGCTCCGCATAGAATGCATCTAATATGTTAAAGTGATCTGGTCCAATATCCTGCCACTTGTCAATAGGCTCGGGAACTATTTCAACAAGATCTTGCAATTCAAGTGTCTCATTAGCTATTCTCTGCAGAAAGGTTGTTTTTCCAACACTAATGTTTCCCTCAACACAGAAAGTAAGTCGTTTCTTTTGTGCTGACTTCACATCAGAATCTAAGTTCTTCTCTTTCAACTCTTCATCCACGCTCTTTTTGATAAATGTGGTGATACTCTCAGCATGGTTTCTGTGAATGATTCCAACTGAGCTTTGCAAGAACTCAACCATCTTCTCCTTGGATTTTCCAAAGAACTGCAGAGAAGCCAAAATAAGCCCTTTATTATAACAAAGCACGTCAAATTTACGATCAAACAAGTTGTCCTTGACATCAGCCGAACATTAAATATCAGTACAAACTTTCTTTTAAGCTAAGTACTTCGGTCTGTAATTCTAACACAACCCAATAATAACTATAAAACAGAGACCATATAGGCTATCCAAATTGGTCAAGTGAAACAACATAGTAATTGAATTGGATATACAAAAAGCAAGCAGTCCTAGCGAATCCAAACAGCTCAAAACAGACCTGTCTATGCCATGCAGAAAAATTGATATAGTCATAGCCAAAAAGCCATAACCCAAGTTCACACTCATCCTCTAACACTTGCACCACAACACTGCAAACAGAGGTGTCTATGTGCATTTTGCTTTGCATCCTTATTAAGAAAAGTACTGTCTATGCATCAAACAGGGTTGTTTTGTCATTAAGCAGAGCTGTCTATGTCATGCTGAAAAGCTGGTAGGGTCAAAATCCAGAACCCAATTTCACACTCATCCTTTTAGAACTTCTTTCACAATACTGCAATATAGGTAACCTACATTCTTACTTCACTATACCCTCATTATCATTCAACAAAACGGGCTTGGTTATATTAATCCTTTGTAATCAATCCACCTTATTCAGGCCCAAATCATTCTAGTACAACTTATATTTGATGATATTTTCGAGTATCAAAGATTGATAATCGACTCTTAAGTGTTGGTTGAAGGAATTGCTATAAAGTAAGAGTTGCGCCATTTGCAAAGGAAAACGATCTCCGCCCACAAGTGAGGGAAGTCACTTTTCCCCTTTTGATAGAAAATATTTTTCTTAGAAAATATAATTCCAATAACCAAACACCAAAAATGACTTCATGATAGACAATATTTTCCAGGTAAACTTTTTCCGTCATACAAAAAACACCTAGATAACAAATCCAGCATTTATTCCTAAACCAGCATACAAGGCTATACAACAAACTAAAAGAACCTTCATTTTACCCTCATTAATGAAGTTAAACATCTTTTTTTTTAACATTTCAAAGGAGAACACTAGATATTTGGCTTCTCAGTAGTTTAACTGTATTACCTTATCTCTGTAGAGCTGCTTGAGCTGATCAACACCCATAAAACCCTTCTGCACCA